GAAAGGATCATTTGAGTGATTGTGCCCCTGACCCTGCTATCACCAGGGCATCTGTAAACCAGATTTGGGTTCCTGTTCCCAAGCTGTACATGTTAGCAAGCTGTTCTAACATTATGCTTTTCTCACAGTTCAAAAACTTCTTTTGTGTTTCAAGACTGTGACTGCTTACACACAAGCATTAAGATCTATTGGAAGAGCATCGTTCAGGTTACACGGAGAGCTCAACATAATGTGATCCCTGCTACATGGAGAGCACAGCCCCTCTCCATTTCCCTAGCAGATTTGAATACTCAGCAGTTCAGTAAATCAAACCCTTGTGGTCTAAACTCTGAGGTTACCTGGAGCTGACTGACTTGCTCAGCAGGACTGAGGGAGTCTGTGGCAGAAATGGGGAAGGAATCAAATTCCTTAGTGTGTTATGAGAGCCCTTTTTCTATCCCTGCAAGAGCTACTCCAGCTCCTCTGACAAGGACATGGGAGGAAACTGACACCGTTCTTGAAGTATGTATAGCTGAAAGCTTTTCTGCCTTTTTTTTTTTTGTCTTAAATTCCAGTTTTCATCCTCCTACAGCTGCAGATTGGGGAGGTCAGGGGCAGGGAGATATGCTCCATGTCATCTCAATCAGACAATTGTTTGAAATCCTCCTCCCAGCTAGCCTGCAGAGAAAGACCTATTTCTAAAAGGGAGGATGGCAGGGGTGGTTAGTGACCATTATTTGCCAGGCCAACAGCTGAGGCCAGAGCAGAGTGGGGCAGCAGGGAGTTTTACTGTTATCTTTCTGTCTAGTTCAGCTGAGGTTATAAATAGTAAGGGAGAAGGGTTGGTGTGATCAGCACAGATTCACAGGTAGCCAATATCTCTGATCAGCTGGTGGACTTCTTGGCAAGAAATGCTGCAAGGCTGCAGTTCAAGACCCTGATATCGTGTTTTCTCACTGGATTAGTGTCTGCTAGCCCACATATCCTGCAGGGTCTGCAGCAATCCTGAGTTTGCTCTTACTGTGGTAAAATGGATCTATTTACTTGGGAGGCTCTGTGCTGGAGGGATGACTAGATACCACCAGTTGTGTCTGATGGTTTCTCCAGGGATAAAGGTGCTTAGATGTTAACTTGGCTTTCGACTTGCATTTCATAGAGAAAGGAACACTGTATAGACCACAGAGGAAAAGTTAGTGTCAGTGTAGGTTAAACACCTGTGTTACAGAGATCTTGCTCTAAAACCATGCCAGATGTGATTTGTTCCAGTCTGTCCTGCAGAGCCAGCAAAGATAGGAAGGGAAGAGTTGGAAATTATTTTGCCTTATGCACTGCCAGGTCGATACCATGTTGCTAGACCTGTGAGCCAGAAAGAATTTGCATGAGCCTTGTTTTGGGATATTGAGCCCATCCAAATAAAGGGAGTGGGCTTACTTCAAATACATTCTGAGTCTGGTATCTGAGATATTCAAAGTTTGAGGCAGTTGCTTCAGAGAACAAAATGGCCAAACTGTTCAATTGCAACTTCTCTTTTTAGCTCTGAGTTTATGTATTTGCCCATCATCGTGATGGGAATAATGAAGGATATGCAGGAGGAGCTGGACAGGGCGAGGTGAAAGAACAAGGTTGGCAAGTGTGACTTGCATGGCTGGGTTGCAGAAGGGGAAGGGCAGGGGCCCAGAGGCACCACTGGTGGGAGTTCTGGGAGTTACAGAAAAGCAGGGGCTGCTGCGTACCAGACCAGACTGTTAAGCTGTTCTGCACAGTACAGACATTGTCTGGAGCTTTAAAGGCTAAATTAGACATACTTCTGTTGGGAGTTGCTTAGGCAGAATCATAGAATCCTAGGTTGGAATTCAAGGATCATCTGGTTCAAACTTTCTTGGCAAAAGCACAGTCTAGACAAGATGGCCCAGCACCCTGTGCAGCTGAATCTTAAAAGTGTCCCGTGTTGGAGAATCCACCACTTCCTGGGGAGATTTTTCCAATGGCTGATTGTTCTCATTGTGAAAAATTTTCCTCTTGTGTCCAATCAGAATCTCCCCAGGAGTAACTTGTACCTATTACCCTTCATCTTTTCTATGCAACTTCTTTTTGAAAAGGGAGTCTCCATTTTTTTTGTGGCCACCCTTTAAGTACTGGAACATGATGATGAGGTCTTCTCTAAGCCTCCTTCTGTCAAGGCTGCCTGCAGACACAAGGATGGGTAAATACTGCTTTTGGTTAGATAGATTCTGAGCTGGCAAGTGTATCACATCTAGAATGACAGGAGGATACTCAGCCCCTGGTCAGTATTCAGATAGCTTGTTGAACAGCCTGTTTGGGTGCTGTCATATCATGCTGGATAACTTCAATGTTATCAGTGCTTATAACTGCAAGTCAGGCTCCTTCAGGGGCTTTTGAATGGTTGCTGCACTAGCAGGTCCTGTGGCAGAGGTACTCCCTACGTCCGTTACTGTCTCCTCCAGTTGTGAGTCGCTCCTTCTTGGGCTGTGGGTTCTGCTGCTGCTCGGTATGTTGAGTCAGCAAGGTAACAGATCATTTGGGGTGGGAGACATTTATCTTCTTTAACACAAAAGGCAGCTTTTGTCCCAGACTCAGAGATGTGAGGCAGGCCAAAGGCAGAGACTCGTGTTTTCCTTTCATCTTAGGAAAAAGACTGCTCTGCACTTTCTCCCTCCATTGCCTGCAGTCACAAGATCGAACGTTGTGTTCCTACCCTATTCTTGAAACTTTGAGTGACCTCATCTTCGCCTCTCTAGTGAGGGACCCAAAATGTCATACTGCCAAAGGCATCTTCCCCAGCACATGGCAACAGGATTGCTAATTGCACTGAGGTGGGAAGAGTCAATCCCTGGGTTTTGGATGCAGGCTGATACAGCTTGAAGCTTTATTCTCATTTTCCCCTCAACCACACACATTTCTGCATGTTTCCCCTGGAGGTCTGGAGATGCAGAATGTACGCAGCTGAGGGTTTTTTCATCCCTTTCACACCTCCCTACCTCCTTTCTCCCCTGGCCATTTGCTTCCCTGAATTACCAGCACTGCAGAGTGAACCTGTACCCTGGCCTCTGCCCATGCTGTTGAGTATCAGGAAGCTCCAGATGCCAAATGCTGCTGACTTGCCAACACTTCTTGGGGGTACTTGCAAAGTAGAAGCGTCCTCCAGAAGGTAAGGCAGGGCAGAAGCTTGTCTTTCATGGTATGAATGTCCCTCCAAATAAATTCCTACTTTTCTGTGGTCCTGGAAGATCAAAACTCTTCACATGAATATAGTGGGGGAAGACCCTTTCTGTGCACTATACTGCAACCCAGCCAGTGATACCCAGGTGTCTTGCTGAGCATGGTTGCCTCTGAAAACTAGGTGCTGTAGATGATCCAGCAGTAGAGGAGGATGTGCCCCTAGCACAGCTTCAACAGTATGACCACAGTGCTTGCTGAAGGCACAGCCTCTGAGGCTCTTGTGGACTATGTCCATCTGCCATCATTATGATGTGGACTGGTGAGTGTGCATCAGCTGTTCATCTTATGATCTGGCCTATTGATCTGAAGTGATGGTGGTGGAAGTCCTCATTTCACTCATGGAGCTGTCAGCCAAGGTGAGTTTGTGGCCTTGCTGGTGATCTCTGGCAGAGAGAGAGCTGGGAACATTTTCAGTCAACTTAGTATGGGTCAAAGGGCTAAGACGTGCCCATGTCTTTCAGTTTCACTGCATCTAGTATATTCTGAGCCCTGTTGCACCAGGGGAGGGTTAGGTTAGATATTAGGAAAAGTTTCTTCACAGAAAGGGTAGTCAAACATTGGAACAGGCTGCCCAGGGAAACGGTGGAGTCACCATCTCTGGCAGTATTTAAAAGATAGGTAGATGAGGTGCTTAGGGACATGGTTTAGAGATGGGATGGGTAGTGATAGGTTAATGGTGGGGCTCGATGATCTTAAAGGTTTTTTCTAACCACTATGGTTTTATGATTCTATTCTATAAGCCTCTCAGGCTTGCAGCCCTTGTAGGGCAGCTAGAAAACATGTGGCAGCACCTGCCTCCCCCTTGCACCCAGAAGGGAGGCAAATGCTGGTTGTGAGACCGGGTCCTACATGCTTGTGTCATGCTGCATGAACTGTCTACATGGACTTCTTCATGGATGCAGGGGAGGGAGCCGAGTGTGCTACTTGGAGAGGCAGTAGTTACCCATCAATAATGAAATCAAGAGTGATCTGTTGCCAGATTACTTCATCCTGGAAATATGAGCAAATACTAAAAGAGCCACTGTAGCCAAAACGTCATTCTGCTGGCTGGTTCCCTGATAGGAAACAAAAAAATGGAGCATCCGTTCTAATTAGTGATGGGAGCTTACTGCATCAGGATCAAAGGAGAAAGCTGTTTGCAGAATCAAGCTAAGATCAAAGTGTCCTAGGTACAGGAATGTCCCATTCCTCTTTCTGCTGACGATGGTGTACCCTGCTCTTCCTCCAGGCATGCTACTTAATTACTAAGTAAGGAGGAGACTGCACATGCAAGAGAGGAAGTATTGGCCATTGTAACCCAACTCTAGGAGACGATTTGGTAGTGATTGATTCTTGTTGCTTCTCACAAGTCATTAAACTTCTCTGAATGCTTAGAAAAGATCGGGATTGTATATTTTTGCAAAAGAATACCCTTTACAACATCCTTTGCTTGATTTTTCTGACCTCTTACGTGTAATTTGACTTACTAGAGTGGGCTCTGTGTGTGTGCATATATCTATATTTGCATTTATATCTACCCAAGGAATTTCAAGTCCTCAATCCTTAGGCTGCATTGAGAAATCCATATCCTAATAGATAAGCTAAATTTGAAATCTTTTCCTCCCTCTCTCCCATGCCTCCCTCCTTTTCCATTAGTGCAAAGCCACATTTTTCCAACTCCTAATTTTTAAATGTTTAAACGTGTAACATTTGGTTGAATTTTCCTATTAGGTGTCTTCCTGGCCATACAGGTTCACAAATGCATGTGTCTCTGTGTGCATCCACCTGTATTTTGGGCCATGGGTATTGATGTGGAAGGATGCAGTCATGTAGATCCTTGCATGGATGGACAAGGGCATGTGTAAGTGTGTACATTTTCCAGTAGTCTGAGATACAAAGAAAAACCTTGTAACTTCTGACGAGGATTTGATCTTTGCTCTTTCAGCTGTCTCTCTGGGAAAGGAATCGCATTGTAGTAATGCTCCCCAACCTCCCAGTTCTGTGTTAACGCACCAGCCTACCTCCCTGTTTATGCTGGTGGAAGAGGACTTTGCCTACCTTTGGTCTCCTGACTCCCCTGTCACCTTGTTTAAGCTTACTTGTCAGAAGTGGTTGTGTGTGTTTTCCCTAGCTGTAGCCCTGCAGGTGCCACTTAGCTTAGCAAAATGAGTCCTTGTCTTTGAGTGTCTCCTGCCTTGTATGCATCCCGGGCCAAAGAGCAGCTGACAGACCCTGGGATGCATGAGGCAAAGCAAAGTCTGAGAAGCTGGCTTGACTGATGGTTTAACAAGGCAGAGACAGGATAGCATGGTGTGTGGGGGTGCTAGTCTTGCATGCCCAGCTCAAAGTGGCTCCCCTTGGCAAGACAAATGGACAGGGATCTCAGCTCTTCCTTAGTGCTCCCCCAAGGAGGAGGTTATGGGGGCTGTGGGGCACTGCTGGATGAGAGTGGGGCACTGGCAGAGCAAAGGGAATAGTAGGTGTTTTCTTTTTTAAGCTCTTCATAAGCAGATTGGGAAGTGCTCAAATGTTTTGAAAATTATTTTTACAGTGACAAAATTATGCATGTTCTACTTTAGTGTTTTTATTTTTCTGCAGGATGTTTGCAATCAACTAATAGTAAATATTAGGAGTGGCAAGAGGGTGGTTAGGTATGAAAATCACATCATCTTGATGCCTGAGTGATTGATATAACTAACCCTGCAGTGCAGACTGTAAGCTCTAACCTTTCCAGTAAATTTGCTATTAGTGAATACTCACACTTAAATATTACTTTTTCTAAATGTCAGGAATTTGAATATGTGGGTTCTTTTTGGTGAAGACAGTGGAGGGGCAAGGGATGCTGCTGAAGAACACATGTTGCTATTCCAAATAAGATGAGTACTTGGTTTTCCTCTCATGGAAACCATCTCATTAAATCTACACTGAATATGGCAGAAGAGCATATTGGAGAGAGAGGTTAATCCAATAAATGTAGAAGGTATTGTGACTCCCTGCACTGTTTAGCACATGGATGATGCTAGACTGGATGGGCAGTCATGACAAGGTAGCCTTCAAATTTAGGCCTGCAGAAAGACAATCCCTTGTCAGGGTTATATTCAGTAAGAGACATCTCCAAAGTTGACATGGGTCACTTCTGGTTTCTGGGCTAGTGCAACTGCCTGGCCAGCCATAAGCAAATGAGGAGTCCAAACCCATTCCCAGTCTGTTGACTACAGATGCATCTGGAAGGCAGATGCCCTGTAATAAAGGTGATGCTTATTACTGGCTCTTCAAATTATTTACTTCCGCTTGCTGCTGACAGCCCTGCATAGGAGATTGATGGATTAAGCTTTCACCAGCTGTTCCTCATCCAGACATCTAATTCTCTGAGATGTTAGCACCAGAGATGAACTGTTTCCATAGGAATTTCCAAAATGTTCCATAGTTTTAAATAAGTTTCAACCCTGTGAGAAAAATCAGACTTGGGTGTTTTATCTGCAAAGTAAAAACCTCATTAATTTCACTTGGAGAGATTAAAATTATGTTTTGTCTGACTGTGTTCTGAAGCACTTCTGAGCCTCTCCAAACTACCAGGGGCTTTGGAGGTGAGAGTTATGGAGGAAGGAACAGAAGTCCAGAGGACGTTGCTGAGGATTTGCAGGCTGGGATATTGCAGCTCCAGAGCAGTCAATCCAAACCCAGGAACTCACCATAGGCTGTTCAAGTGCTAGAAACTTTGGATCTGTAGCACCTGCAGCTCAGTGCTTCCAGACTCCAAGCATCCCATCTCTCCATTAGGTAGGCTGGGAAGGATCCCAGCAGACAAACATGAAGGAGATCACTTACCCTTTTCTCAGCAATTGGCCTGTTCAGTTTTTTCATAGTTCAGATAGAAACCTATTCTCATGGAGTATTTCACCTTGAGCAAACCAGTGCCTCTTGGCAGAAAATAGAAACTTTGCTGGCAGCCCTTCCTGGAGTCAGCAAGAGAATAGGATGGACCACAGACCTGGGTACTAGCAATGTTTTGGAGCCTGAAAACTCTTTATCTTCTCCTCCAGCAGTCTCCCACATGTTTTGAACAAGAAGGTAGTGAGCTGTCATATAGAGAGATGGTTTTTTGTAGTCAATATTTTGATTTTGTGGGGCAAAAATGGTTTAAAAAAATGTAGTGCTACTTGAGATGGTGGTGGTGATTCCTTGGTTAGTTTCATTTGATGAGATTTTGGCAGTAGGAATGGAGATATTTCCCTGTGTGACTTGCAGTCTAAAAACTGCATCCTTGAGCTGCTGCGCTGGGAAACTGGGGCTTATCAGGTTTTGAGCCCTGTCCAGACTGCGTGGAATTCAAAGGAGGCAATGGTGGAAATGCTGGAAAATAAATGATATTTGATGAGATCCTCCATTATCAGTAGCAATTTTTCACCAGTGAGATAGAAATACCTGGACTGGAAAAGATTTAGATTTTTAAGCCTTTAAATTAAACATAGCACTAAAATGTTTCTTCTCATGCTGAACTTCATTAGGGGGAGAACTGTGTTTCTTCTTTAATCATACATGGTCTCTCTTCTTACCCCTTGGTGAAGACTTTTAGAATGCAGTTTCCTTTTCTGTTTCAGTAATGTTGGGTGTCATTAAGACTGGGTTGGTTTGAAAACATGTTTCATTATCTCTTAGACACAGCTTGGCTGCTCTTATGCCTCTTTCCCCATAGCCAAAACAAAGCCTGTTTGTTTTCAGAGGCTCTGAAACTAGAGTTCTCTCACATAAAAGGGTTGCCTATCTGTGTTTGCCTGCGAAAAAGGTCTGCATGAGATCAGCTTGATCTATTGAGGGAGGAATATAATTCTTTTTAGCCTGAAGTAATTGGATGGGGCCACTTGAAATGCTCGAACTGGGTGTCCTTCTCCTGAAATGATTGAACTGAGTGTCCTTCTCTTTCCAGGTCTGGTGTATCCTCTGGAGGTGTCAGTTAGTTCAGGGAGCATCCAAGTTGCCCGAGGCCAGACAGCAGTATTGCCCTGCACCTTCACCACTAACGCTGCTCTCACTAACCTTAATGTCATCTGGATGGTCATTCCTCTTTCTAACGCCAACCAACCTCAACAGGTAGGTCCTTTCTCATAGAAGCAAGCATTTTTTTGGGACTTTCTTTTTCCTCACCCTTTTCACACCGATCTGGGTGTAGTCCCTTTGAAACGCTAAGTCTCTGGTTGTTCCAGAACATTCCCTTCATTGCTGAACATGCCCTCTGGATCTTAAATTAATCTGATTTCTTCAATGCTTTGTTAACTGATGTGCATTGTGTCCTTGGCTGGATGTGCATTTAGGGCAGGTGTATACGATACTTTATGGCTGGCCTGGATCTCTGGTGGTTTGTGCGTTCAGAAGAGCACAGGAGATGTAATGCAGGTTTTGGTGCTCTTAATATGGGATTTGGAGGATCTGGGAGCAGCTGCAGTCTTAAACCCATGAAATCTATGTAAAATGTGCCCAGAACGCATGGCCTCTCATAGACTTGTCACCCCTCTTATTTTCCCTCTTACTTTTTCACTGTTTATTGCTTATGCAAGTCCATTCTTGTGAACATTAGCAAGTAAGAGTCTATTGTGGCGGGCACAAGAATCATAACCTGAGATCTACTGGCCTGGTTTTTGCCCTAATACTTTGACAGCAGAAGAATGACATTGCTCTAAAATGCATCTACCATGGGTGACACTGCCACTGTCACATTTGATATTCAGTAGTGAGAACCTCCACTGGAGATCACTTGCTCCTTGGGAACTTGGTCTGAGTACAGACTGCTATATAAGCTGTTTGCAGGTTCAAGGGTTGCATTGCCTGTTAGTAAGTCCATCCCAAGGATCTTCAGTAAGCAGTGTCAAATCATGGCAGGATTGTACTCTCTGAGACTCAAAATGATACTGCCCACTTGGTGGATGCTTTCCAGCAAAGTACTCCCTCACCTGCAAAGAGTCTCTGCTTCTCTACATCAATCCTGTCCAGATAGGTAATGACTATTATATGAAGCAGGCTCATATTGGCAATTCAGCTATGCCAGAAGGCTTGGGTATCTATTTGGTCTGCTACCTCTGTGAACATTTTTATTGACATAAAACTGGTTTCTCTTTTAGAGAAAACACCTCTGCTAGGATAGGTCTGCCTGGGACAACTGTATATCAAGATCTGGTTATTTAGAGATGCTTTAGGAACCTTTAGTCTTTGGAAACTTGTGTTTTGCTTGCTGATCTTCTTCCTTGCTCAACTCCTGCAGAGTGTTGTTTCAGCTTTCCTTTCTTTTCCAGGTTATTCTCTACCAAGGGGGTCAGATCTTTGGTGGTGCACCTCAGTTCTATGGGCGAGTGGGGTTTGCTGTGACAATGCCAACCACCAGTGCCTCCATCTTCATCAACAACACTCAGCTGTCGGATACCGGCACATACCAGTGTTTGGTCAACAATCTTCCCGACCGAGGAGTCAGGAATATTGGAGTCATTGGACTTACTGTCTTGGGTGTGTTTATTGGGATTATGGGGGGAGAGGGGAGGAACAGGGACAAGGGAATCACAGAATCACAGAATGTTGGGGATTGGAAGGGACCTCGAAAGATCATCTAGTGCAATCCTCGCTGCAAGGTAGTGCATCATAGCAGAGCAATATGGTAGTGTATGCATTGGAGCCCATGGACATCACTTGCTGAGGGATGGGCTGCCTTGTGGGTATTGTGGGAGAGTGTAGGGCACATAGCCTTCATATTCAGGTGGCATATAATGGATTTGTAAAATATGGTGGAGAGAAAGTTTTGTGGCAGCATTGTGATGTGGAGTCGTAAAGAAGCATGAATAAAGTACAAAGGCATCCTGGAGAGCTGAAGGGACCATAAGAGTTTTGTGCATAGCAACAGAAAAAGGGAATAACTTTAGATCTTTGCTTCCTTGTTGTGAAAGCAATTAGTACTGGATGCTCTCTAGGATGTTAAGTACTCCAGTGTGTGTGCCATTATAGGGGTGTGAAAGCAAAACCCAGCCACAGAAAATTCTATCTGCAGCTCTGTTAGCTCACACCACTCTTGCTATCTCAAGCACGGAAATGTTCACCTTCTTTTTCTCTAGGGAGGGATTTTAAAGTACTGGGTCCTGTGAAAGTCAGCAGTAGTCTATAACCTTGGTGGGCTGGCGGGTCAGGAATCTTTGTGAATTGTCACCCCCCAAACCTTAATGGGTTCTTCTCTGCTGCCTCCCTCTTCTCTCCTTGTCAGCTCATGCCAGTGTCCTTGCTTTCCCCCGCAGCGCGTGCCCAGAAAGAGCCTGCACTCCACTGTTCGGTCATATTTCCTGATCTGCTGTCACTTTCCCCTCTTCTCTCGCAGTTCCTCCTTCTGCCCCGCTTTGCAGAATCCAGGGGTCCCTGGACGTGGGCAGCGATATCACACTGACCTGCAGCTCAGAAGAAGGCATCCCCCGGCCAACATACCTCTGGGAGAAACTGGACAATGTTCCCAAGTTGCCCCCAACTGCCACACAAGGTGCTCATTCTGTTGATTATCCTCTTATTTCCCAGGTGACAGCCTGGGCTTTCCTTTGTCTGAGCCACCAGAGGTGGCATGGCTCATTGACTGTCTGCTATCGCTTGCATGGTTGCTTTATTGGAACGAAGATTCCTAGAGCCCATGGTGGACTAGGTACCATCCAATGGCCACTTAAATTTTCATGTTTTTTTGATAGAAAACATGTTCCCTATTGAGGAACAAGGGTCTGGTTGCATGGGAGAGAGAGAACATGGTTACCAGATGTTGGCATGTGGCTGGAGATTTCAGCTGCTGACTCACCTGCATTTAAACCAAATGAAATGCTCATAGATTGGAAACTGGGAGAAGGAAGGCAGAATCATACCAGGAATATACTACCAGCTTCTCACACTGAGGTCACGGTTCTCCAATAAGTTACTGGCATAACTGTCTTTCAGATGTGTGTAAAAGCAAGGCTCTGATCACACTGGGTATTGCCCAGCCCCAGGTCCCATCCATAAGATCTCTCAGCCTAGGTGTCCTAACCAACTAGTGATAGCTGTACTTTTGCCATTATTTTTCTGTATTTTAAGAATGTGCAATCAGTTTAGTTTTACATAATACAGAAATTAGGAAAATTGTCGGAGCAGGAAGTGGGAATCTCGGGGATGGGAGAGCAGGGCAGGATTGAAGTTAGCAGGTAGACCTGGGTATAGGTATTTGCATATCTCTTCTTTCCTCCTTTTTCTCACACAATGCTGAGTCCCAAGCTTTCATTTACAGAAATTAATCTATATGAAGAAAAAGAAACATTTAGTGTAAGCTCCTTAGGACCTAATCTTATGTGTGTGTGTGTGCGTGCGTGCCTGATGCTTTCATCTCAAGGTTATTTCCTAATTTGTTTTTCTCTTAAGAGTCTGACACCAAAATTTTCTATTTGCTGGCTTTTCCTTTTCACCATTTTCCTCAAGGTGAGGAGGGATTTAAATCCTTCTTTTCTCTCTGACTAGACCAAGTCCAGGGCACTGTCACTCTCCGAAATATCAGCACTGTGTCCTCAGGTCTTTACCAATGTGTGGCTTCAAATGCCATTGGAACCAGCACTTGCCTTCTGGACCTGCAAGTCATTGCACGTAAGTATTTTGCCAAGGGAGGCTTGGCCACCTGCTTCTGTCTTGTGACAGTAAAGTGAATAACCATGTTTGCTGTGAGCCACCATGTGCCTCTCTATCAGAAGATCGTTGTGCCCTGGAAAGGGGATGCCACCTTTATCCCCTCCCAAGCCACGGCAGCTTCAAATGCTCATGGACAGCCACAGCACAGCCCTGATTTCTTCTCTGTTCTTTGTTCAATCATCCCCACAGCCCATCCCCGAAGCATTGGCCTGATTGCAGGAGCGGTGGCCACAGGCGCTGTCATACTCATTGTTTGCATTGTGTTAGTGGCCGTGGCACTGTTTTACTGGAAAAATAAACACAAAGAAGAAGAAGAGGAGGAGATTCCTAATGAAATAAGGTAAGGGTCAGGGAAAGTTGGTGGCAGGAGACCTCTGACAGTGCAGCAAAAGCAGTAGCTGGCAGGAAGGCAATCAGAAGTCTCACTCTTGCTACTCCTGGGTGTGTTCCCCTGGGCCGGGGAAGTTGTCCATATATGTCCAGAAAATGGAAGGAACAAATGAAGGATAGTAACAACAGAATTTGTTTTCAGTATTGCCTTTATTGAGAGCTTTGGCTCAATGATGTTAGCTCCATAGGAGAGTGATGTGGTGGGGGATCCTATCCCACAATACCAGACAGTGATAACTGAAAAGCTCTGGAGATACAACTGTGATCTTCTCTGGTGTTACAGCCCCAGCGTTTCCCTCTGGAAGCTTCCTGCAGCTCCCCTGAGGATCAGCTTAATTAACTGTACAGTCATACTGACTGCCAGCAAAGTACCAGTGGCTGTGACAACCACTGTTTTTACCCCCATAGATACAGGAGAATGGGTTGTTTGCCTCAGCAGTAGGCATATGGAGCAATTAATGTGTACAGAGGTGGGTCCTGCAAAAAGGGATGAGCAAACAGGCCAAGGAGGGATGCTGGTTCACTTTGGTTCTGTCCTTCACCTTGAATTGATGGTGTTGACTCCAGGTGGGTGTGGTGAAGGGGGTGTTGGGCAAGCAGGGCAGTATCTCCATGTGCCCTCACACCCTCTCCTTCCCAGGGAGGATGACCTGCCACCTAAATGCTCCTCTGCCACAAAGACATTCCACGCAGATGCATCCTCGTCAGAGAATGACACCCTCACCTCGTCCAACACCTACAACAGCCGCTACTGGAATGATCCCAAAGCCAACCATGCCACAGACTCCTTCACCCGCTTCAGCAACAGCAATGATGCCCACCAACCCCCCTTCTCACGCTCGGGGAGCACGACCAACCGCCCCATCTATGCCAACGGCGGCCACCCATCCCCAGCTCCCCCTAAGACGCTGGTGGTGACAGCCAGCACGGCCCCGTCCCCTCAGGAGGTGATCCGGAGCAGGAGCGGATCGGGGCTGTGCCCGTCATGGTGCCCGCCCAGAGCCGGGCTGGCTCCCTTGTGTAGGGCCATGCCAGTGGCCAAGGGCCAAGTAAGGGGTCTCTTGTACCTGGTGGGGCAAAGAGAGACCCTACCCCTTCCTGAAAGACGGCGAGGTGGCGGGGGGACACACACTTGCCTCTCTCCCCTGCCCTCCCCTCCCGAGGCTGCTGCCAGCTGATGGGACAGCCCTGGCAGTGCAGTATCCCCCCGGCTGTTGGGACTCCTCGCACCGATGGACAACACCGAGGTGCCAAGGCTGGGGGAGGACACGCTCCCGGGCGGCTGGGCCCTGGCCGGGACATGTGCCCAGCCCTGACTTTGGGGGGGACTTTTGCTTTTGTTTCCCGTTGGTTTTGTTGGGGGTCAATTCCATCCATTTGGGTCTTTCAGGGAGGTTTGGGGAGATATATATATATTATTTTTTTTCCGTTGTTGTTTCTGTTTTATTTCCAAGAGGATGACAGCCTGCGTCGGGGCAGGGAGGGGTGCTGAGGCAGGGTATGCCTCAAGGCCTGACTTTGGGGGGGACTTTTGCTTTTGTTTCCCGTTGGTTTTGTTGGGGGTCAATTCCATCCATTTGGGTCTTTCAGGGAGGTTTGGGGAGATATATATATATTATTTTTTTTCCGTTGTTGTTTCTGTTTTATTTCCAAGAGGATGACAGCCTGCGTCGGGGCAGGGAGGGGTGCTGAGGCAGGGTATGCCTCAAGGCGGCCCCAGCCCCCTCCCCACAGCCCTGGCCCCGCTGCTGGATGAGGGAGGGCTGTGCACCTGGGCTGGGTGACACGAGGCATGGGCCAGGCTGGAGGGGCGAGATGAAGGCACAGCCACCAGCCTGGCCAAGGGGATGGCTGAGTGATGCCATGAACCAGGGAGCATTTGTCTTTATTTTTTGCAGTTCTTCGCCCACCCCACCATGCACACACCCACAGAGACACACGCAGGTCCTCCTCAGACCCAGTATTTTTCCTGCACTAGTTTGGGGTGCTGCCAAGAGCCCTGTTCATGGCCGTGGAGGCTGCAGCTGTCTGAATGTCTTTCCCTGAGACACGCTGTGCATGGTAAGGGTGTATCTCTGCTGCTGCTGTAGGGCTCATGTCCTGTGGGTTTTTTTGGGTGTTGCTGGGGTTATTCAGGGAGCAGAGAGGAGCAGGGTGGTGTGGCAGAGCAGCAGGCAGGTCCAGAGATGTCTGATGCTCCTGTGCTGCTCTGTTTTGGGGCAAGTGGCTTCAAACCCCACAGCTTTGGTGGGTTTTCTGTATCAAACTATAGAGGGCTGGCCAGCATGGCAGGGTACATGTCATGTTTGAGGCCCTCAAACGGAGGCGTCACCGTTTTCATTCCTTCACCCCCATGCGCACAGACTTCCCAGACACTGAGGTTGGCAGAATTCATTTCCAAATCCTTTCCTTAGAAAGAGTGAAAGCAGGGGCTTCATAGAGGGGGTAACCTTGTGGAAGCCCACGTGCTCTCTGTCTCCCCTACTTCCCTCAGTGTCCTGGGGCCAGGCTCTGGTGGCATCTGCCATCTCCTCACAGCCAGGGAGGTGGTTGTGGCTGGCACCTATCCTTTTTCTATTGCAACTAAATAGCCTTAATCAAAACCAAGAGTTGAAACCACTGAAGGAACCTGGTGCCATTTGGAGGTCTGGACTGAGGGCTGGGTCTTACCTTCCTAGAGAGCACTGGCTGAAAGGGGCCATGCTTGGATGGGTGTCTCGGTTCTCCTGCATAACTCCAACCCTTGCAAATGTAAAGGCAGTGGTTATCTCCAAAAGCACCAGAGCCCTCCCAGGTCTGCTCTTGGAAAAACAATGTAGGGAGTCACAGCTGACTTTCTGTAGCTCTCACACTGGAAAAAGGGTCTGTTTAAGCCAACAGACTCTTCCTCATCCTCACTTTCCTTGTCCCGACACAGCTTTACTTTCCCTAGTACAAAGGTTTGCAGGGCTTTCTGCCTGAGCAGTACCTTTGAAATGCAAGGACAGACTCTGCGCAAGAGGGGGGAGAGGTGATGGTTGGGTTCCCATATAGACTTACTGGCTTTTTGGGAGGTTGGGGGCTCCCAGGCAGCACTAAGTTTGAAGCTTGGCTGAGATTTTGTGCCTTCTTTGCTTAAAATAAAAGGAAAAGAAAAAGGAAAAGGAAAAAGGAGAAAAAAAATTCCAACCTCCCTTCCTTCCCCCTCTACACAGCTCCATCCAGAATGGGTGCAAAACTCTGCAGCTGTGTAGGCAGAGGGTTGCTCTGTGTGTGTGTACTCAAGTTTCACCAGAGCAGTCCCCTTTCCTGCCTGTCTGCTCACTTTGCTGCTGGGTGGTAGGATTGATGGGGGAAGAAGAATGGCTTTTAGAAACCTTAATGTGGGAGGAAAAAAAAAACCCCAACAAACAACAAACAGTCAAAGAAAAGCCCAGACACATTCTCTCTGCTTTTGTAACAGCCACTGTGTGACATTTGCAGGAACACTGCCCTCAGCAGTCCCCCTCTTCTACTGGGAAAGCTCTTCTGGTTCCTACCCTCCATGAGACTGTTTGCTCCTCTTTCTTTGTTCTTTCTAATTGTCTAAAATTCAATAAAACTTTATTCATATAAAAAAAGGACTTCTTAATGCCTGCTGCTGCTTTTTTCCCCCCTCTACCTAATTCTGTAACGACAATGAATTTGGCTGTTAATACTCATCCTTGCTATGACTGGCAGTAAGCAGCAACTGTGCAACCAGGAATTGCATGTTATTAGGCCAAGCAGTTTGGTAGCAAACCCTGGTACTATAGGTTTGTTTTCCTCATTCATAATGACACATTGCCCTTGAAGGTACAACTTCCCAGGCTTGCAAGGTCTCTACTTCTCTAGACAAAGGTGAGTTTTATTTTCTGTCATTTGCTGGGGGAAGATACTTTGCTGCTTTGAGTGATGTGGGAAAATGTTTTTTTAAATTGCCTAACTTTGCTATGTGTTGGTTTTCCCATCTGAAAGACGGGACGTTCATCCCAGTTTCAAAATCTAAGGCAGTCATCAAGAAGGTTCTCACTGACTTTCTTGGGCTTTTGAATAAGTTTAATGGGGGAAACTGTCTGGAAGTTAGTAATAAGTGCTGATCCCCGTGGACAGAGTATGGGAAATTTCAGTGTTTGAGTGTTCACACTTTCAAAGCGTAAGGGGACTTCTTAGTCTGTATCAACAGCTGTAAGAATAAGGTTATTATTAGTCAGGACAACCTGATGTTTTGCCAGATTTTGTGTTTTTCTCTCCATGTTTCATTTTCCCTCCTTCTTCTCTAAAATCCCTCCGATATTCTGAGAATGATTATTAAAACCAGAAACCTACAGATCCAACAGGAGTGGTAAATCAGCCTTACTGTGCATGCATTGTGTTCTCATTCCTTGGTATTTTTCAACACCTAGTTTAAAATACTCCTGTAAATGTTTTTTGAGCTATAGGCCTTACAGTAAATGAGATGACTGCATTGCCATTTTCGGAAAGTTGTCGTAGGGATCTTAATGTTTGCATTTTTCATCTTTTGATTGTACAACCTTGATGTGACATTAATAGCATCTCTGCATTTTATTCCCATGATAGCCCTGTCAGTATTCTGCTATACTATCCATTCGTTGGCAATGGTTTGCCCCTTACGTCATTCTTCTGCACCTCTCTGTCTATTGATTTAGAGCAGAATTTACTAAGGTACAGGATAGTTTACTAGGTTTATGCACCACCTAGAAAGCTGGAGTTTTAGCCTGTAAATTGTACCTAGTGAGGCATTGCTGCAATACAAATATCTAGCCAAAAATAATACCAGTTAGATGACTTGATAGTGCTCCAGAGTGACTATTTATCATTAAAAACAAAGGTTCAAGCTACTATAGTTGTGAGTGGAAGGCACCACTGAAACGCTTGCGTTTGCTGACAGCCTTCAAGCTCACCTGTGTAGTAGGGATTGTCCACCACAGTGGGTCCTACCAGTGTTACTTTAAATGTCAGTACCTATTGGTTATATCACCTTCTACCAAAGAATATCAGAAGGAAACCTGTTCTAGCACAAGGATTAACTGTACTTTCGAGTGCTGAGACAGAGAAATAACCATGAGAGGATGTTTTACACTTTAGAAGTGGATAACTTTTTAGAGATTGGTGTAGCTGAGAGCTTAATTTAAAACATTTGGGAAATCTGGTCTGTAGACTGCCAGAAGGTTTATTTTTTTAACTTGCACAGCTTTTGGACTTGAATCTGCTGATTCATCTGAACTAAAAAAAAAAATAAAATTACCCAGACGCATGCGCTTCAGCAAACTCTTTGCCAGAACACAGACAAGTTTCCAGTGGAAGCCAGTCTACCAGATGCTGTCCTGTCCAAGACTGCTTTGCTTCCCCAAGAGGATCTGGGATGCTCAGATGATCAATCCTCCTTATGTCATGGTTTACATCCTCAAATCAGCTAGCTTCAGGTGACACCAAGACAGAAGTAACTCAGTGATCAATTTGGCACTGGGCAGAGGAAATCAAACTGAAATTTTTTTACACCTCCCCTTCCCCAAAAGGAAAGATATCGGGGGAATATTCATGATAAATTTCTGGTTTCATCAAACACATTGTTAAGTTTTGGCAGGTTACTGGATTTCTCTTGGAAGCAACATTTTGCATCCCAGCCTAAATTGCTTTAGGCACACAAGTGTCTTTCTGTATCTGCACTCCCACCAGGATCTTCCCAGCCATGGGGCTGCTGGTTTGTGAGCAAGTGGATGAGTCTGTGCATGTGTGTGCCAACACCAAATGCACCCAAAATGGTTC